AGATTTTCTGTAAAATATTCCTTTCAAAACAATTGAATAGTATCTTGTTTGCTTGTGAGACAATCCAGGTTTGACTGCCAAATGTTAATAATGTCCTGATTATGGCTTTATAGACTTGAAGCACGGTTTTCCTTGGGATGAGATTGGATGACAGGAGCTTGGGCAATGCAAAGTAGTTTTTCCTTTAAGTTCTTCCTTTATGGTACCATCCTGTGCTATGATACAAAAATTAAATACCTGAAGTGTGTCACTTGCTTTTTTTGTTTGTTTGTTTATTGTTATGTGAGGTCCTGGACTTACTGCTATCCCATTTACCAGCAGACAGTCTATTTTATCAAAGTCACTTGTCCAATTTTATTTGCTTCATTTATTAGTCAGGTATACAGAACTTCTATATCATTTGTATTTTCATATATGAAAGCTATATGAGCAGCATATTGTAAGACTTCATGCTCTCCATTCAGCTGAACTCCTCCCCTTATGTTATTTATGCCCCTGGTTACTTTTTTCACTGGCAAATTGAATAGGATTGAAGACAAACCATCTCCCTGTCTCAGTTTAGTTTTAAATGAGAAGGGGTCCAATTTTCTTCCATAAATGCTAATTCTGTTTCTTGATTCATGCATGCAAATGTTAATGGGTTCAATTAGTTTGTTGAGAATTCCTAATTCAGGTAATATGGCCCACAGACATGTGTATGCTATCATAAGCTTTCTGGAAGTCTATGAACAGAATATGTATGCTTTATTGGATTCCCATTTTTCCTCAACTATTTGTCTTAGTGAGAAGATTTTTTCTGTTGTCAATCTATACTTGCAGAGTCCACACCAGTATTCCCCAAGAATTTATTTTGTGTTAAGTAATAATTGCTGTAGCAAGATGTTAGAAAATACTTTATACGTCATTGTTAATAGGGCAATACCTCTCATTTTGACACTCCAGCTTGCTGCCTTTTTTTGAAGATGGAACATATTAAGGCTTCTCTCCAATTATCAGGTAGATGATTTTCAGATAAGGAGAATTAATTTATGGATTTGTTTATAAAGCTGTTCCACTCCATAGTTTATCACTTCAATTGCAATGCCATTAGTTCCTGGTGCTTCATTGTGCTTGATATCCTTGTTTGTAGTTCCCAAATCCTTCATATAATTTTTTTACATAATTTATCTTATCTCTTGATATCTTGGAGTTGACTCACTAGGTATTGATGCTTTTTGTTTCTTAGAACTTTCTTTGTTTCTTGGATGATGTCCTTATATTCTTCCAGACATGTGCCCATGTTCTGGTTTCACTGGAGGAGCTTTTGTCTTGCTGATTTCATTTTATTTGTTGCTTGCCTACATTCATTATCATACTACCTATTCCTTGTGACATTCTCTTGTATCCTTACTGTTTTTCTGTACTTTCTTTGATTACTATTCTTTGTTATTCCATTGATTGTTGACACTTACATCATTGTAATTTTAGCTTATTTCTTCATTTCAGAGAGTTCTTCAAGGGCCTGAAACCTGTTTTTAAGTTCCACTTGATGCTGTTCACTAACCTTTGCCTATTTAAGCTATTCAATGTAAAATTTTCCCTATTTTACAATACCATATTTCTCTCTACTTTCAATCGCATTGCTATACTTCCTCTGACAAGAAAATAGATGTCTAAATTCACATTTCTGAAACTTCTTATATTTCTTATGCTGTTTCTATATTGTTTGTGTATAAGTATATGAACAATCTGGTTTGCTGCTTTTTGTCTTGAGACACCCACATTTGTATGCAATGTTCTTGTGGGAAGTTATTGTTCTCCTAATAATCATATTTTTCTTGAGGTAAAGCAAATGAATCTTACCCCATTTCCTCTGAAAATGTTGTGCAGGCCTTCTGTAACAGCCCCTTGTTTGTATATCTGTTCTCTACCTACTTTTGCTTTGCTGTCTCCTAGTACAAACATGATATCATTTTTTGGTATGTGTTCATACAGATGCATGAAAAAATCATAGAATGCATCTTTCTCAGTACCTTCTGTTTCTTCTCTAGGGGCATATATATTTAGAACTCTGATACTGAACCACTGGCTTTGTATTCTGAGGATGGAGATTCTTTCATTGATCCTTTGGAAATACATAAGAAAAAATTATGTTCTTGAGCTTAGCACAAAAACTGTGCTGTATTCATGTCTGTCTGTCTTTGTTACACAAAAAAGGGGTGTTTGTTGATCTCTGTTATCACCTGGAACAGGAATAAGTGTATCTCTTGCAAAACTTGTATGTCCGTCTTGTATTTCCCCAATTCCTTCACTAGGGATTAAGCCCTCCTTGGTCTATAAGGTCTCAGTACATTCTGGGTTCCAATCTGTAACTCCTTTTCCCATTTTCAAGGTATGTTTACATTTGACTCCAACCAACTCTGATGTGATAGTGTAAGTTTCATAACAAGCTACTTTTTCTGGGATAATAGTTAACTCTATCCTCATCTACCGACCTGGAGGGCCAGGGAATCTCTCTCTGTCAGATCCCTCACCTTCAACCTGTCTGGCTTGGGGGACCCTTTCAGAAGCTATGCTTACTGCTGGCATAGCTCTTAGGATCATAGGGATATGCAGGCCCCATTCAAACAACAAGGGGAGGATACCACTAATGTCGTCTAATGTTCTTGGGATTAAAATCCCATTAATTAGAAAAGCAGAAGTAAATTTCATACATATGTTAAAATATATCAAGATATATTATTATAGTGTCCATCTGGCAAGGCGCCAGACTACCATGTGTAGACCCTGAGATGATGCAGAGTCACTTGGAGGAACTGGATGCCTTTAAGTCGGCAGGCCCGGATGAACTTCATCCGAGAGTACTGAAGGCACTGGCCGACGTCATTGCACAGCCACTGGCGGGAATATTCAAATGCTCGTGGCACACGGGCCAAGTCCCGGAGGACTGGAAAAGGGCCAGTGTGGTCCCCATCTTCAAGAAGGGGAGGAAGGAGGACCCGGGCAACTATAGGCCAGTCAGTCTCACCTCCATCCTTGGCAAAGTCTTTGAAAAAAATATCAAGGCTCACATTTGCGAGAGCCCGGCAGGACAAATTATGCTGAGGGGAAACCAGCACAGGTTTGTAGGAGGCAGATCATGCCTAACTAATCTAGTCTCTTTTTATGACCAGGTTACAAAATGCCTGGACGCAAGAGTAGGGGTGGATTTCGTATACTTAGACTTCAGGAAGGCCTTCGATACAGGGTCCCACCCCATACTGGTGAACAAGTTAAGAGGCTGTTACTTCGATGACTACACAGTCTGGTGGGTGGCAAATTGGCTAGAGGGTCGCACCCAGAGAGTCGTGGTGGTCAGTTTTGACCTGGAAGGGTGTGGGCAGTGGGGTCCCGCAGGGCTCGGTCCTTGGACCGATACTCTTCGATGTCTTCATCAGCGACTTGG